TAGTTTCAGTCAAAAGGTATAAGGAGGGGATAATGTAGTTTTATCATGCATATGTGTTTATATAATGTTTCACATAGTTTTTAAGTTTGTGACAAGTTTTGATAATAAATTGGATTATTGTCACCTATCTATGTGTCTTGTGGCAATGTACCTGTGATTTGAGATGAAAATTATGAAAATGAGTTAAAAGAGGAATGACAACTTGTGTTACATGTGACAATACTTATATTTTGAGAAATCAACTTCAATTATGTGTATTTATTCAATTAATATACAACTGCATAGGGTAGGTGTATCTTGATTACTGAGTGGCTAGACTCACCCTTCTCTTTTAATATTTTACAGGCTCTAATTCTGGTGCGAAATGAGAAAAAGCTATAGAGGCTTAGGAATCTAGGATTTCTATTGTATGGCCTTTTAACCTTATTTATCTTTATGTAATAATTGATATATTGCCAATTAGGTTTAAATTTTGTATACACTTGCACTTTTGATGTTTATGATGTTAAAATGTATTTTGTGCCCTAAGTTGTTGTTTGTATGATACTCAAGTGTATTATAAAGCCAAAATACTAGTGCAACTATAGGGATGTTTAATTAATTATAACTATAAATGTTAGTGTTAAAATGTAATGCAAAGACCTCCCCATCTGTCTTTGATATCAAAGGGGTTAAGGGGTGAAAATATAATAGGGTGATTTATATGTGCGTATTGTGTGTTATACTATTAGTCATAGGTCCAATAAATATGATTTGGGTGTTATGAATGGCTTTTGACACTATATGAGGCTTTGGACATTCTTTGGTTGTAAAAGTTGTGAAACTCGTGAAAATGTGTTTAGGTGTCCATCTTTCTGATATAACTTGATTTGAAAGTGAAACCTACGCCATTGGCTAATTTATGAAAATAGCTTTTTGATGACTTCCAATATTTTAATAAATTTAATAGTGTTTTTAATACAATTGGAAGTCATTTTGTGGAATTAATTAGCAAATGTGTGATTAAGTGGATTAGTATTTGTGATATTTGATGTGGATAAAGTCCAAGACAATTGTTGAAGTTAGTGGATCAACTATGGCATTAAAATTGAGTTTTATTCATATAGGGAGGCCCAACTTATGGGCCCAAAGCTGATAATTTTGAAGTCCACAAGAAATTAAATTCTGCCCAGCAATGCTGCAGCACCAATTTTGGATGTTGTGACATCAGACCAATTTTGGATGTTGTGACATCAGACCAATTTTTAGCAAAACGCACAGCTTCACTTAAAATCATGTTTTAAGGGTTTCTGGCTTTCAATTCCGAAGCAGTTCGTCTTCAACTAGCAACTACACGTCCAGGAGCATTTTAAGGTGGAGAAAGAGTTGGAGAAGCTTGGGGAACACTTGGGTCTTAAGATTTGTGATAGAAATCATCCTTCCTAAGCTTTCTTCTCCCTTTTCTCTACATTTTAATGTATCTTTTGCTGAATATTGATGCTTCATGCTGTCTTAATGGGTGTTAGTGGCTGAATTCGTTTGACCTAGAGTAACTATGAACTTATTAGTGGATTAGAGCTTGTTTTTACCCATTGTTTATGCTTAATATTAATTTTGGTTGCTCAATCTTGCATTAATTTATTTATTTAATGTTTGGCCATTATTAAATATGAATTTGGGTGTTGGGGTTTTTCCTTGACAAAGGGAAATCTCATTTAGACCCTTAAATTGAGTAATATGAGATTAGATTATGATCTAATTTGTAATTAGGATAGAAATATACCTAATTACCTCATATAATCAAATTAGAGTGAGTTGGAATTAAAGTTGCCTCTTGGATAATTTTGTTAGAAATAACATAATTAATTTGAGAGAGGGTTATTTGAGGTTCGAAAGGCCCTTATAGCTATTAATACTCTAGATTAACAAAATTAGCATTAAAATTAATTAATTGGGTAAAAAGCAAGATCTATGAAACTAGCAAGGGATTAGTGACTCTAGGTTGCATTGGACATTTGTGATTGTTGGATTGGGAATCTCATTGCATTTTATTCATTTCACTTTTTAATTTTGCTTAATCAATCACTTCTAATTAGTTTTGCTTAACATGAACAAAAATGAAAACTTTATTGTCTAATTGCTATTTTGCTCGAGTTCTTGTGGGATCGACCTTGATACACTATTATATTGCATTTTGACCCGTACACTTGCGGTGAAACATTTCGTGTGCATCACTTTTCATAAACACTTAAAACATTTCATTCGAATGTCAAACAGAGAAATGAGACATGCTGAAAGTTGCCTAGATCTGTTGTCAAATGACAGCAAAAATGTTATTATGAACATGCAACACGCCACGGCACATGGCACTAGGAGTGGCAAGCCACAACGTATTTCTCTGTTTCTCAACTTTAGAAATTTTTTAACCTGTTTTGTATTCTTTCACACTTCTGAGGTATTACATGCTTTGAAAATATTATTTTTCTCTAATTAAATGTTTAATAAATGATTTTGACTTATTTTAAATTATGAAAACTTAGGATCCCGTTATTTCAAATTACAAACTTAGTAATTTTCCTCAGAATTAATCCCTTGATTATCATGAATTTGTTAGCTAAGCGTATTTAATAAAGGGGATATTCCAAAATTTGTGTCTTCACAACAAATAATCCAGTGTTTCTAATAGGGCATTTTCATAATAAAGGACAGGTTGTGAGTTTCCTAATTCACATGTGAACACCTGATATAAACAAGTAAACTATCATAATTTTACAACAAATAATCTACTCTAAAACATTAATTACCAACTTAGTCTAGCAAATAAATCAGATTATATCGAAAATAAAATCATAACTACAAAGTCTATAGGACAATCCTACCATTTTTTATATGTTTAATACAATTGAACACTTGCATTAACAATACAAATTTCATGTTTTACAATACTACATTATAATTTTCACATAACAAAATTCATTTGGTGTCGTGGGCAATTTCAAATTCAAAGAGTTTGACTTTCACCATCTGCAAAATGCAAAGTGCAAATTTATCATTCTTTGCCTATGAAACCTCAAAACCTCACATAGCTTTAATACAATCTCTCTTAGTATGCATGTGCAATCTTTAAAACAAGAGAGAGAAAGAGATGGGGAAGTAAGTTTAAATTGCTCACCACTTTAGTGCCCGCAACCACATATCCTTGAGCACCAAAGCAGAATCCCACCAAGACACCTTCACTTCACTATCTTCATGATTTTAAGCTGAATCATCCTCTCTCCTAAGATTAAATACAAGATCAAAAGCGAGAGAAGGAAGAGCGAGGAAGAAGAATGGTGATATAAGACTTGCATGTCCTTGCTTTTGCTACCACCAGCCCCATTTGTGATCAACACAAGCTAAGAAGAAGAGAAGGTAGTAAGAGTAAGGATGAAAAGAGTTGCATGAATAGAAGCTGATTATGGGTAGGGCAAATGGTGAAATAGATAATTCCTGTAAAAAAAAACATATTTTCAAATAAAGTTTTTGAACCCTTAGAATAATTTTAGATTCCAATGGGTCTTTTTTGCAATTTTCTTGGTTCCGAGGGCCTTAAAGGTGGTTCTCCCAAGATAAAATCACTGCATGAATTGGATCTACTATAAAAAAAAACTAATTTTTTACGACGTGATAAATTAATATTTAATTTTTTGCTAGGAAAATGTCACATTTAGTACTTGATCATATCATGAACAAAATTGCTTCTCATTAAAGAAGTACACATGTGCAAAAAAAAAAATCTAATATGAGAAGCTGAAACCCGATTAATTAGGGGAAACATATGTTTGACAAATTATCAAGTGTGTACTCCATTGCTCTCTATTTGCATTCTGACACTTTCTTTTGTTATTTAGTTGATTTGGTTAAATTTAATAGGCTTGTGACAGAAAATGAACATGGGATGTAGGTATGTTTTTTCCTCTACTCTAGTCATATTTGCGTTTTCTTCTTTTTTTAATTAGCGTTCAAATTTTTAAAACAATTGCCAGTATTAGTTCCACGGCCAAATGTTATCAGGCTTGAACTTAAGGACCAAAATTCCCTTACTAATTTTCACTTCTCACTTAATCATTTTGACTCTTGAAAATCATAAACTCGTCCATGTCGATTCATAGTAAAAAGAAATTCAGCCTTATCATTTGTCAATAAGACAATAATCAATAATCCTCAATAAACCACGTGTAACGTACAGTGTGTCTGCCAAAAAAAAAAAAAGAAAAGAAAAGAACGTGTAGCTTGGTTTTGAGCGCCTATTTAGTTAAGCAAAATAATTGATTATTTTACTAAAAAATTGATTAATCAAAAAAATATCCAAACACATTAAAATCATGTAATCGATTTTGTTGGCTAAAATTGATTTTTCTCAAAAGTTGGCACTTCAAGCGTCTGCGTAAAATCCATCAAAAAGGGTTGGAAAAATTACAAAAAAAGATTTAAAAAAAATTAAAAAAACTCAAAATTTAATAAAAATAACCTCAATAATATATTTTACTTCTTCAATAAAATATAACAACTTTAATAGTATTAAATATAGATTTATTAATAATTTAATTTTAAAATGTGATTTTTTTCATAATAATTTATACAATTAAAATTAATTTTAAATAAATTATTTAAATACTTTTAATTCTATTAAAATTAATTTTAAAAAATAATACCTAAATAAATTAAATTATAATATAAGTAATTATAATTAAAATTTATCATTTAATTAATTATTTTTATAATTTATTATATTTAACTGAAATTTAAATGGGCACATAATGCTAAGGAAATTTTAGTGTGCAGGCGAGATCACTGTCATAGAGTAGGCTGGCAAACCGAAGAGGCCCATGTCACCTTTGAGGAAAACATCAAGGGTAATATTGACACTTCATCCTTTCATTGGCTGTCGGTGGAGTAGCCCGATGGGCCAACCCCTGCAGTGGGTTCTTTGCTGCAAAGCCAGTCTGTTCTCGCTTAAACATCGAATAGTTTCTATTGTCATTACCCTCCTAGCTGCCGTCCATCACAAGAAAATATGTTCGAGATTTAATCCCATCCAGCTCCGTTGGTATCTTCCATCCCAGAGAATGACCTTCCATCTAACACTTCCCTTTTCTATTTGATTCTCTGCAGGTCTGCCCTCTCTCTTGCATTCCATTCCATCATCCCCACTTCGGCATTCAAACAAAAAAATCCTTGATTTATTGAGTTTGAGATCAAGACCCACCCAGATCAGCTGTGGTGGTAGAACCTTCGGGTATCGAGAATGAAGGCAACTAAAAGTGGGGCTCTCCTTTTTCTTGCTCTGTTATTGCTGAATCAGCTTGTTGTAAACGGGGATGAGTCCAATACCAAGACTCTGGTGAAGTATGTGAAGGGGAAGAAGCTTTGTGACAAAGGGTGGGAATGCAGGGGATGGTCCAAATTCTGTTGTAATCTGACTATCACTGATTACTTCCAGACCTACCAGTTTGAGAATCTCTTTTCCAAGCGTAATTCGCCTGTGGCACACGCGGTAGGTTTCTGGGACTATCATTCTTTCATCACTGCTGCTGCACTTTTTGAGCCATTGGGCTTCGGCACCACCGGCAACAAGACCACGCAGATGAAGGAAATGGCTGCTTTCCTGGGTCACGTCGGCAGTAAAACTTCTTGTGAGTGTCAATCTTATTCTTTATGTTTTTTTAGTTATCGTTGTTATTATTATCATTTGGGTTTCATGGTGCTATTCTTTATCTTTATTGGGTTGTCGGTGATGTGAATCAGCGTCAATTGGTTTTAGGGTATGAAAATTTGGCCATTTGGCGTTTTGGTTCATGGGAAATCTTATTTTTATTTGGGCGACGACACTATTTAGATGAACAAGTTTTAGTGGGGTTGACTAGCGAGATTTTTGTATCTAGATTTGCCCAGCTTGGGCAAGCTCCAGGTGGAGTGTTACATTTATGTCTAAAGTAGTAGTAGTATTTTAGGTTCTGTAGACAATCAATTCTCCAAACTGTTTTGAATGACTTTCATTTTTGGTGGCTGGTTTGATTGGTCAAGTTTGAAGGTTGCTTTGCTTACTTCTGCTGTGGGGTTGGGCTGAATATATTTAAAGAGATTATGCATCTACTGTTTATTTATAGCTGTTTGATTTCTTATAAATGAACTAAAAGGAGAAAACACTGGATTTTAGTATATAGTATTGTTTAATATCTATATCCACTATCACAAGATGGAAACCAATCACTCCTTTTTTAATTATATAATTCTGTTGTTGATCATTGTTCTGCTGATGCTAATTTCAGGTGGTTATGGAGTGGCCACTGGAGGACCTTTGGCCTGGGGTCTTTGTTACAATCATGAAATGAGTCCTAGTCAGTCATACTGTGATGACTATTTCAAGTACACCTACCCTTGTGCCCCCGGTGCCCAATATTATGGACGTGGTGCCCTACCTCTCTTCTGGTATGTTTAATTTAATCCTGAATGATATTAAAATATTTGCTTCTTCATTCTTGATTTTCGCTTTGTTTGCTTTTTGCTGGTTGTCTGAGATGCTTTATTTGATATATGGATCCAAAAAGTTAGTGTCTACATAAAAAATAACTAAATAAGTGTCGCTATTGAATTGTCTGCTTTTTCCCCCCTCTCAAATTAGATGAGCCTCCCATGCATTGCACAAAAGGAATGGATCGTATTGTTTATGGCTTGATGATAGTTTGAATTGCTGTAGATTATATATTGATTAACATTGATATCGATATTTTCTATTGATTAGTTCTAAATCTGATTCCCGCCACTCCCCCCTTAGTGCTCTTGCAAACAAATCACAACTATTCCTTACTGAATTTCTGCAATTTAGTTGGGCACTGCCAACAGTTTGCAAAGAAAAAATAAGACAGTTCGAAGCCCCGGTAAAAGAAAGACAGGATAAAAAAAGGGAAGAAGAGTAAAGCAAGTTTTTGTTAAACTGAAAATGATGGGGCTGGTGAGAGTAGATATGTGAAGTAGAGTGTGGACTAAGACTTGCAGGGAAGTAAATCTGGCAAGGCATATTGGGTTGGAAATACTTGGCAAGAAATATGCTGCTTGAGAATGGTTTGTTCCTATAAAGAAGGAATTGGTTTAATCAATGTAATATATTTTCCACTGTCTGTATTACTTAGACGTCCATGATTGGCGGAAACTAGGTGAAACCATTCTGTCAGTCAAGGATAGCCACTTGTTTTAATGGAAAGATTCGAAAGCATCCCTTCTTATTGAAAGTGTGGAGTGGGCTGCTGGAGAAACTTATATAATGTTTCATTATTGCACAGAATTGCTAATCTAAATATGAACACATCCCTTTGCTTGTTGAATACGGAGGTTGTGCTTCTTTCTGATGTTTTTATTATAGGAACTACAACTATGGTGCTGCTGGAGAAGCTTTGAAGGTAGATTTACTAAGTCATCCAGAATACATAGAGCAGAATGCAACCCTAGCCTTCCAGGCTGCAATTTGGAGGTGGATGACCCCAATCAAGAAGATGCAACCTTCAGCCCATGATGCCTTCGTTGGCAACTGGAAGCCTACCAAGAATGACACATTGGAGCATCGAATTCCTGGTTTTGGCACTACAATGAACATTTTATATGGTGATGGTGTATGTGGGAAAGGCGATGACGACTCCATGAACAACATCATTTCCCATTACTTATATTATCTTGACCTGCTGGGTGTGGGCCGTGAGGAGGCAGGGCCTCATGAATTGCTTAGTTGTGCGGAGCAGGTTCCTTTCAACCCATCAGCTCCTACCGCTGCCGCATCTTCTTGAAGTCATGGCTGTTTGGAGTAAGTAGCGTGTGGTGGTGTGCTAATCCCATGAAAGTGGGGGGTGAATAAAGAATTCTTAAATTGCAAGTATTCAATGACGTTCAGCTGTATTCAGTGTGTGGATTCTTTTGTAGCTTCTCTTGGTTGCTGTGTAGAAGCATAAAACTTTATCATTAAATTATACGTGAAAATTCTGGATCTGGTATATACGTGATGTACGTCTTGTTTGAGGGGATAATCTACGTGATGTACTGTTTGTTATACATGTTCTATGGTTGCAGACTTTGGAAATTCGAGGTTGTTTATGTCAAAAGAGCCGTTCTTTCACTTCTTTGGCAGCTATTGGTTCGTTTGTTGTTTTACATGCATAAGTACGAGAGGGTGTGTGGGTTTTTTAAGCGTCTTGCATTGACGTTTTCACCAGGGCGAGGGTGAAGGAAGGGGGTGGGGGGGGGGGGGGGGGGAGAGATCCCAGGGGGTTACAGCTTCCCAATTTTTTAATTTTTTTTAATAAAATATAAAGATTATACATTTATGACCTTTTAAATTGACACATTATAAAGATTGAGATATTAGATGAAATTTTTATTTCAATTGTCATATAGCCTTTTATGATATGTATAGTATAACTGTTTTAATAACTTAAAAATATAATTATCATATGATCTACTTATTTTTAACAAGAAAATGTTACACATGCTTTTAACGTATTAATGTTATTTTATTTTATTTTCATTTAATATTCAATAAAAGAAATTATGAAAATTATTAATAGCAAACTTTTAAAAATCTTACAATATATTGAATATTATGTGGTTGATATCTATCATAAAATTATTTATCCAAAAATTAAAAGATTAAAGTTAATGTGTTCTTATAAGAAAAATTATTATTTTTTATAATCAAGCTATTAAAATTTATTATATGAATTATTTTTACCTTGATATAATTTAATTTCATCTATGTAAATATTTTGTGATAATTAAGCATCATTACTGTATTAATATATTTATTTATAACAATCATTAATTGAAAGAATTAAATAAGTAAGTGATAGAGTTTATTACATAGAACAAAACTTTAAATTTTAATTATACATTTAAATCATTTAATACTTATAGGAAAGATAAAATTTTTGCTAATTTAATGAAAATTTATATTGAAAATAAAATTGTTAAAACGTTTGCCATAGATATGATAACTAATTATTTTTATCTCATGAAAAAATTATAAAAAATTAAAAAATGAAAATATATTTATTTGTTTTGTACGTGTAAAATTGAATATGAATATATATATATATATTAAAATATTTATTTTACATTGGTGTGATATATATATATATATATATAACTTTTCTTTAATTATCATATATACTTTCTCATTCGGATCCTTTTAATAAAAATTCTTAGCTTTACCCCCCTCCACCGGGAGATTACAGCGTGTCATGGGGCTCGAGGTCCAACGACGACGAGATCTGAAACAATGATTTTGGTAATGTTTTTTACCTTGTGTTTAGAATGAAAAGCCTCGTGAACAATATGTCTCAAAAGCAAAAGGCAATGGCTTATTTGTGGTTTTATGTCAAGGGTGCTTCGAGATCATCGTGTTGAATTTCTAGGATTTACGCGTTTATCGGCAGAGCAATCGTGGGTTGGTGAAAGTATTTATTTTGAAGATTGAACGTATAAGAAATGATCGAATATCGGAAGAAAAGAAAAGGAAAAAAAAAAAAAAAGTTGAAGAATAAGCGAGAAAAGCAGGGGAATCGTGATTATGATGATGAGGCGGGTTGTGGGATGCAGCTCGCGGGGGCGTTGTCGTCGTGGAGGCTTTGTTTGAGTGATCCTAAGACCAGAAATGTCGTCAAACAGATGGAATGAAGAGAAATACAAGAGCCGTGCCAGCCAATCCCATGACATGAAAGTGAGAAATTATTAAATTGCAACTTTGCAAGCATACATATAGGCAAGTTTTCATCACATCGTACGTGAAAATTCTGTATCTGACATGGACGTGGCTTGAATTGTGACGAAGTGGCATGAGAGCTCCTGCTGGTGGGTGGTCACAATTAAATCATATTTTAATTTATAATTAAAAAAATATAAATAATCAATTGAAGAATCTATTGAATACATTTAAAATTATTTGTCACATCAGTTGTGAATCTATGAAAGCAAAATGTGAATCTCATTTTTTCGCTACTAGTATACAGATAAACAATTTGAAAAATTAAGTAATTACACTTTATATTATTTGCAACTTTAATTAAGAATTTATAAGAGTAAGTTGTAGATCACAACCAATTACTTGTCATTTTTTTACTGTCAATATATAAATAAATTGCTTGGACAACTTACTAAATATAATTGAAATTATTTATAATGTTAGTTGAAAATTTAACAAAATTAGTTATAATTCGCAAACCAATCACCTATAATTTGTTGTTATTGTTTGAAAAATCAACAAAAAAATTGTCAAGAATTTTTGTAGTATTAGTTGAAAATTTATTAAAATTCATTGTAAATTTTACTTCAATTAATATTAAATAATTCATTGTAAGTAAAGATCATAATCTTTTATTGATATTTCAATAATTAAGGGTCTGTATTGTCATTAATATTTTTATGGGGCCCTAATTATCATTTGCCCTAAAAAATAGTTCAGACCTAAGAAATTGGAACTGGTTTGTTGCAAATAGGCCCTTGCCCCTTGCGTGGCAGCTATACTGGGCTAGATAGTTGCGCGAGGGCGGCATTCTTCCCCCACTATTTTTTTTGTACTATGTTGGGGTATGTATGTATGACTGGGTTGAGAAAGGACTTGGAACAATTATTGGGCTGGGGGTCCAAATTTGTGTTGGGTCATATTCGTTTATGGATGTTTATGAGTAGAAGGGGGTTGGATTATAGCCGTTGCTCTCAATATCTTGAAAGAGAGATTTATTACCATAGCCAAAGCGAACTCCTTCTGCTTGCTAAAAGAACACAGCTACAAAAGAGAATTGCCATATTGGAATGGGAGAAAACACAAGCAAAGTCAATTTGTGGCTATGGTCAAGTATTGGGGGGACGAGGAGTGATACGTGTGGACCGATTAGATTTACAATTTTTATTTTATATTTATTAAAATAAAATTTATAAAAATTTAATATATCTACCTCATCATTAATTTAAACAATGCAGGTTTAATTTAAATTGCCCAATTTAATGTTAAAATTTTTTATAATTTTTATAAATTAATTATTTAAATGTACCCTGAAAAGTCTAGGTTTAATTTTAAATTTTTAGCTTTTTATATGATGCTTTATTTTAATAAATATAATATTTACAATAATAATAATCTTTAGATTAACACTTCAAAAGAAATTAACAAAAAAGTTGAGTTAAAATTTAAACTCTAGACTATCTAGAGTAGCTTTAGATAATCAATCTATAAAAATAATAAAAAATTAATATTAAATTAAATTATTAAAATTAAATTTATATTGTTGAAATTGATGATAAGGTAAATTTATTAGTTTAACAAATATAAAATGAAGTGTTTAAATTTGGACGGTGGAAATTAAAAATGTGAGGAGGAGGGAGAGAAAGAAAATGCGGCTCCGGGGTAGGCTTTAGGTGGGGTCCACGCCTACACTCACACTTGGCTCCCAATTTGCCACCTTACCCCTCCCTTCAACACGCTTTGTTTTGAGATCCCTCCTTTCTTTATTTCTTTTTCTAATTATTCTCATTCACTCATGTCTGCCTACTTCCCTCATCGTCCGTATCTTCCCTCCATGTAATCATTTCTATAATTCCACCGAAAGTTTTCTTCACTCTTCTCTTCCCTTTTCCCATTATTTATTTCCGACTTGCCCCTCCTCTTCCCCCCCCCCCCCCTTTCCCTTTTCTTCCCCTCCGTTGTTTACGAGTATGGTCCATGAATCTGACGCAATTATTTTTTATTTTTTATAAATTAAAATTGTTTTAAAAATTAATTTTTAATAAAATAAAATAAATTTAAAATTATGTTTTATGTTTTAGTTTTTTACAATTTAAATTGTACTCCTCCGTTTAAAAATATATAAAAAGAAACTAACTACATTCATTCTATATATTTTTCTTATATAAACACCTGCCAAGAGAATTGCTATGAATTAAGCATATATCTTTATAAGTTTTTTTTTTAAAAGCTTAAAATGAAAATTAAACATTTTTATTATTCATAAAGTTGCAACTCCACATATCCTTAAAATAGTTTATATTTAAAACAGGTATTGCGTTACAATTATTTTCTCCCACTTTGTAATTAATTCCATGTCTTGTTAAGTAAAGTTTGTTAATGCTGATTCAATTAATACAACTGCTAAACATACAGTATTATTGAAAAATCATGTGTCATGCACCATTCTCATTTGTTCCTTTTTTGGTTCAAATATAATTATTAAAGTTGACTTGTTCAAGCGTCCCTATAACCATCACTTGATTAAAATGTATTATTTTTATAGTATAAACACGTGTTAACAAAATTTCAATGAATTTAGTACATAATGTTACGCTCAACATTTTACTCATCAAGATGCTGCTCCCAAATTTCTTTAAGTTACTTCAAAATAAAACCAAGAATTCTATTCCAGTTACCTTTCTTTTCTCTTTCTTATTTATTTCATGATTCATATCTTACCAAAACACGATAGTCAACATTAGGTTTGATTAGTGAAATAGTTAAATATTGGGACATCATATAATTTAACTAGTTCTCCATTTCTTTTAATCGTTTTTTTTTTTTGTTCAACCTCAAGTCATACAATTGTTCCATTCACATCGGTGTAACGCACGAGGATCACGCTAGCTGAACATTAAAAAAATGTAAAGCCTTTTACATGTTTTAATGTATAATTAATGTGCTTTTCTTTTCAAAAGTATTCATAATAAATAAAATATTTTATATTTATTTTAAAATAAAATGATCTATTAAATACTCTCTTTAGTCTTATTTATGACGTAAAGAGAAAAAAAAATTTATCCTATTTATAAATCACTTCATTAAATTTTCATTATGAATTTTTTCATTTAACCTCATTAAATATAGAAGAGAGAAATATATTATTAAATTATATATATTTAATAAGAATAAAATTAAGAAATTATTAACTTTCTCAATAGATTTAATGTGTTTTAAGATTTTTTTTTATTCCGATGAAATATATTAAAAGTGTCTTATAAATAGAGTCAAATGAGTAAGGATGAATACGAAAAAATGATATTAGTTTGAACCGACTACTTTATTAGGAGTGAATTGTTTAAAAGTAAATTACACTTCTTAAAATAAATTGTGTGAAAATAAAATAAATTATTATTTATATTTTTATAGTCTAATAACTAAAAAAAACTTCTCATATTGTACTAGCAATAAAAAATATAATTAATAATAATTGTTAAAGAAATTTAAAAATATACTCTTTCAGTTTAAAAATGCAAAATATTTTTAACTAAATCTCAATCTTAATAAACTAACTATTTGTCTTTAAATTAATATTATTTTTTATATTTATTCATATTTAATAAGGTATTTTACTCTAAAATAAAAGTAAAGTAATTTTTTTTGTTTGGGATACTTTAAAAAAATATAATGATTATATATCGAAATACTCAAAATATCTTATATTTTTTAGTATTAAATTTTTTAAAAAATATTTTATATTTTTTAACAGAGTGAGTAGTTATTTTTACTTATCCTTTTTAATATAATTAATAAAATTTATGTTTCATTCTTCTCTTGTATATATTTTTTAAGTAATGCGGATTAATACTTAATCTAGTAATGATGTGATTGGCGAACACACGCCCTTCTTCCTCGTTCCTTGTTGTTCGCATGATGCCCAGTTCACCCACTATTTTGGACCACACATGTATCCGGAACACTTGTTTTCCCTTAAAAAAAAAAAAAAAAAAATCCTCCAGCGTTTCAATCAATGATTTAAAAATCAGTCCGACCTGCACCATTAACAGCTCAGTTTAAACTAAAAACTAATTTTTATCATTAAACTGGATTGAATTGAAATTGAGCTGCCATTAAATTAAAAACTGAAGTAAAACCAAGAACCAAAGATGTTTTCAAAAAATCAAACAATTTTAAATATAATATTAAAAAAACTTAAAAATAAAAAAATAAAAGTTAGATCATACTAAAAGCCAATTTTAATTTTAAATAATATATATAAATGATTTGAAATTATTTTATTATAAAGATGTTGGCAATTATAAGTGCAAATGTAAATACTTTTAAATCCACTCACATTTAATTTAACCAAAATTAATCTATATTTGACAAGTTATAAAATTATAATTATAATATTATTAATTTACGATCATGTTATATAATTTTATTAACATATTATATATTTTTTCTTTTATTTATTTTATATGTACATTTAATATTATTTTTTTAATTATTATATCATTATCCAACCGTTGATTTAATTGATTAAACCATAAAAATTGAGAATATATTACTTTTTAAGAATAGATTACTTTTTTCAATTTAAGATCCAGTCTAACTTTTAAAATATTGATTTCAATTCAATTCATTCATACCCTAAGAAACCAAACCCTTCACAATTTCATGAAAAAATTACATCTAGGTCCTATAAAAGAGAATTTATTATAAAAAAATTCATAAAATTTATAAAATACTCTCAAATTTCAAACATTATGCATTTTATAAGTTGTAAATGCTCATTGTCCAGTTATAAATATCCCTACTCAAGTTATAAATGCGTAAGATTTAAGATTTAAAAATATTTTATGAATTTTATTAGATCTCTTGGTAATAAATTTTTTTCTATGGAACCTAGGTATTATTGTTTTTTCATTCCTATCTGTTACATGGATTAAATCCAGATTGAAATTTGAAGGAAAAACATAATTATCAATCTTCATAATTTCATCAAATTTTATTTTTAATTCCTTTAATTTTTTTAATATTTTCAGTCCTTATAATTTTTAAAAGATTGAGTGGCTGTTATTTTTTAGGTCCATATAGTTTTAATTTTTTTAGTATTTTTAATTCATATAATTTTTTAAAAATACTAAAAAAATTACAAGGAGTAAAAGAAAGACTCAATGAAATAATATGGATAAAAGATTACTCTCTCCGTTCAAAAATATAAAGAATTTTTAACCAAATCTCACCCTTCAGCAAAGTAGTTACCTAATTTTAAATTAATTCTATTTTTTATATTTATCTTTATTAAAAATCCTATAATAAATATAAATTCGTTATCAATAGGGGCATTTTTGAAAATAAGACAATGATTACATTTCAAAAAATTAAAAATGCCTTATATTTTTGAACATTTAACTCTTTAAAAAATATTTTATATTTTTTAGCGGGAGTATGTTTTTCCAAATTTGAATCATCATCCCATATTGGTGGTAGAGTCGGTAATTTAGGCCGAACCTAATAAACTAACCCGAACTCATTTGAAAAAATTTAAGACCGGGCTTTAAAAAATTATATTTTTTTATGTTCGGGCCTATTCTGGCTATCTTGAATAGGGCCAAAGAAATTCAGGCCAAGCCCGATTGGCCTGAATATCCAAATAAAAAAAATTTATCTTTAAAAAATATATAAAATATAATAAATAATAATTAATTTTTTAAATTTTAAGTTATTTTATTCTAAAATATCATATATTTAAGTCTTATATATTATTTAATTATCAAAAATATATATTTTATATTTTTATGAAATAAGATAATTAATTTTAAAATTAAAAAATTAATTAAAAATAATTTTTAAAATAAAATTTAAATATTCAGACTGAGTTTAATTATTCAAGTTTTTTAAAAAATAAATCTATTTAGGTTAAACTTATTTGGGCCAAACCCGAATAGAGCCGGTCCGCACCAATTTTCAGGTCTAATTCGTGGTACAGTGAGTGGAGGGTGAAATTCCTAAGATGCGCTGTGATCATTTTATCGCTTTGTCTGACACCTGTCGCTTGCCTCCAAAGCATTCACGCTCACGTGGCGCGTTTCAAACTTCTCGCCTTAACATGTCACAACACAAACTCTCACTTTCTTTTCCACCTTTATAATTTTCCGTCACGTTTAAACTGTAGCTACTATTTGTTTAATATTATATTAGTTCAATAATTATTTCAGTCCCGTACAATTTACTAACTGAATATGATATGCTAACAAACAGATCTGACCCAACGGGATAAGAACAACATCCGATGACGTGTCAGCTCACCATTATTGCTCTTAACATGACCTCGTGGCAACTACAAAGTTATAAGTTAGGTTACTGTTTATTGAATTCGATTTATATAAAATTATAAAGATTAATTTATTTAAATTTAATTAATTAATGTAAATTTATAATATTTATAAATATTTTATAAATATTCCAACACTCCATCGTTACATGTAATCTAATCTTCACAACTTAATCTAAACTCATGCGTCTATATAGATCAATATTCCTTGCGTGATAATTCACTCGGTCCAAGGATTTACTTATTCATGCCCAAAGAATTTTATGGTTTTTTTCTTTCCTTCTTAAAAAAAAGCAACAAGAAAAACAGGACGGCGCTTGAGGAAAGTGCCAGCTGGGCTCACCAAAATTAAACTTATTTGGATATGCAGTACGTCACATCCAATTTTATTTTTTTTATATATACTAGGAAAAGGAAATATACCCAGAAAAAAGCAAACAAGGTCCGTACATTAAAAAAATTATTGGAAACTTGGGGTGGATACAAATTTTTGAAAATAATCGTGTGGTTAATGATTTATAAACATGAACATTTAAAAAATATACATTTTGTACTGTATTATTTATTGGATTTTATTCACAGAATTTTTCCTTCTATATGGGTATCTATTTTAAACTTTTGCATTATTTTAAAAAAGAAGTTTAACATAAAATAAAATAATCAATTTTCTTTAAAGTAATATCATATTTATATTTAAAGGTTATTCGTGATTTTATATTCAAGATTATAAATTCAACTCGTTCATTAATTTAAAGCTTGTTTTACATTAGTCAAAGATATGTTTAAGAAATATAATATCACATAAAGATTAAATATATAATCTTATTAGAGTTGAAATAAATATTATTTTAATTCAATAGTACCCAAAATTCAATAGAAAATTAATCACAATGATTACATTCAAAAACTACTTATTTTTTAAGAAATGTTAAAAGCTTGAACGGATGCATGTAGTTTTTGTAATTTGTGTCTTGGTTTTTATGAACATTTTTTCCCCAAATTTTAATGTACTGTGTATTTTGATTTTTGATTGGAAAACAAAAATTTTGAAAATGGGAGAATGAAAAAAAAAAATACTACCAAAATATATAAAGGCTAATTAAGTATCATGTGATAATTATTATTTAGTTATTTTTTTTAGAAAACACGTGATTTAAAAAAAGGATTACTTTTTTTTGAAAATGGCTATTTTAGTTGTAGTTGATTGATAAACAAATTTAAATATTTTACATTTTTTATTTTATTTTAATCAATAATTTAATTAAAATAGTCATTTCTTATAATAATCACTTAAGGCAAATATATCATTTGGTTTAAAATCAAAATGTCAAACAAGTTTTTCAAAACTAAATGATAATTATCATATATTGCGGTATCTAATTATTTCTTCCATCTTAAATAATAAGACACTTTTAAATAAAATTTTATATACTAATAGATTTTATTAAATATACTTAACAATCTTATCTTTTCAAAATAAAAATATAAACTTTTAAAAATAACTATCATTTAATATATTGAAAAGAGAAGGGATAAAAATTAATTATAGATAGGGAAAGGATAATATTAAAATTAATGTATTTAATAAAATATTAATTTACTCAAAATATATTATATTTTAGAATGAAAAAATTTATTTAAAAGTGTCATATAATTTGGAATGGAGAGAATATTAATTTTTTATTTTAGAGGTATTTTTTTTGTCATTTTTGATAAAATTTATGTATTATGGAAAAAAAATTATCTGACCTTTTTTTCCAATTAAAACAAAAAAAAATCCTAATCCATTCTTCATTTTTAGCATTATTTATTATGTTTTTTCCAGCTGAAATTGATCTTCGAATTAGTCTAATTTCGTGGGCATCCAACATCTAGAGTGACAGTGAATCTCAACGGTATGGAGTATCACCACCACTTAAATCGAAGTGATTGGTGTTCGTTGAAGACCTACCTGTGACGTTAAAATAGCTATTTTTTAAATTTATTTTTCTTTTTCCGTTTCCCGGAAGTTATGGCTATTTGTGGGAGAAAGGATCAGGTTCGGGAGGGGTGAAATAATACCGGGGAAGTTCTCTTGCGCGAAAATTTCCAGGATTTGGTCTGAAGAAGAAAACTTTGCCGTTTCAACCTTGAAAATTGATCGATAGGAAATTTAGATTCACTGATTAATCCATCGATCATTGATTTGCTCCTCTGACTTGCTCGTTTCAGCGGCACTGAGCATTGTTCGTTGCTTTGTGTGTTGTGATTGCGACGTGATTTATATGGTATGATTATGCAAAGGAAGAATATGCACAAGGAAACTGCTTAAGCGAATCAACAATCATTGATTGTTGTAGGATTTTCTATATTTGGTATTGTTCGTGGTTTGGATCGGATTCAAGAAGCAGCGTTCGGTTGTTGAATTTCTTTGATTCACGCGTTTATTGTCGGTCTTAAGGTCGTCAACACTGAGACCGTTGAGCTGTTATTTGTAATCTCTTTGTTCTCTCTGTCAAATGCAGTAGAGCTTTGGTTGGATTGGCGTGGGTAGTTCTGGTTATTTTTCGGCCCACAAACGTTTTCGGGGAATCGTGGAATTGGAGTGAATTCAATTTCATTCGAACATGACACAGGTTGTTATTATTTGGTTTCTGAATCTGGGTTTTATGCTATTTTCTTTTTGAAATTATGGTCGATAGTTCATTTATCTGATAATCACAATTTATGGTAGGCTCTAAACACTGCTTTGCTGCTGAAAGAAAAGGAAGAGGAGCCGGTTACCGCAAGCCGGTTAGAGGCTGCCGATTCAGTTGTGGACGTTAGGGGCTCAGACTGTTTGGTCGGTCTAGAATGCTTTCTTAACATTGTCAGGGCACTGGGAATGGGATCATGCCTCTCTGCGCCCCATCCCCTCCCTTATTCGCCGGAATCCACTTCAGACAGTGCGAAGCGAAGGAGGAGATTAAGGAGAAGCTCTTCGCTTGATTCTAGAACGGAATTGGGCCTACATAAAATCCCTGGGAGAATGTTCGTAAATGGATCCAGCGAGGTTGCGTCCCTGTTTTGTAAGCAAGGCAAAAAAGGGATTAACCAGGATGCCATGCTTGTTTGGGAGGTTAGCCCATCTCTTACATATCATAGTATATGCTTTCTATATCTAGCACGTCTTCATACCATGCAATTGTTAATACATGAAAGGTGGAGATGGTGTTATATTTTGGTCTATCGACTTGTGAACCAGGCCTGTATTTATTTGAAAGTTGACAAAGGTTTAATGAATAGTCTTTTCCGATTTCTACTTTACTCCTATCGGCTTGTAAACCCCACAAGGCCTGATTTCCGTTAATTTCCTATTGTAATTTGCATAACAACCCCCCCCCCCCCCAAAAAAAAAGAGTCCCCTCCTCACCTGGAAGGTTTTGTATGCGACACGTAAAAAATGATTTCCTAAATGTCTGCTCAAGGGAAAATAATCTTTCTATAGGTTTTAGTATTTTTGTTTATTTGCTTTTGTCCCAATGGATTCTTGTCTTCACTTCCGTTTTGTAGTTTCGCACCTGTTTGATAACATTAATGTTCTCAAGAAAATTCGCGTTTGAGGCATTCTATTAACTAATTTTATGAATGCCTCGATGTCCTTTCTTTAAATTTCTTTGGCAAGAGGTAAACTTTTGTGGCACTAGATTTGTTAGTGAAACTAAATTGATGCGTCGACGCTATTTTATTCTGTCTTCGGATATCCCTATTCATTTCCTTCTCTGAGCTTCGCATTATAACTCATGGCATAGATATTATTAATGATCCCAAAAACTACTCTTTTTTCATTTTCAGAACTTCTGTTTAAAGGACACCATTTTTTGTGGAGTTTTCGATGGTCATGGTCCTAGTGGTCATAGGGTAGCAAAGAGAGTCAGGGATTCTTTCCCTTTAAAGCTTATTGCCCAATGGGAATTGCATCATAACAATAATGATGGACTAAGTGATGTCGGAAATGCTATGGAAAACCATAAGTCAGAGGAGATTGGATTTAGGATGGTTGATGGGAAACCTAGTCTTACTGATCATGAGCACAGCTGTACTAATACTTTGAAGGCGCTGAAGGAATCTTTTCTGAAGGCTTGCAAGGTTATGGACAAGGAACTGAAACTGCATCCTGGTATTGATTGCTTTTGCAGTGGGACAACAGCAGTCACCTTGGTCAAACAGGTAAGAGCCATAAATTTACTCATCATTTTTTTTTATCATTAACTGTTGTTTTTTAACTTTTTGGTGCCTTGTGTTCTTATAGGGGCAAGATCTTGTCATTGGAAATGTCGGGGACTCGAGAGCTATATTGGGTACTAGGGATCATGATAATTCTCTAATTGCTGTTCAGTTGACCATTGACCTGAAGCCAAATCTTCCAAGTACCTCTCTCTCCCTCCCCCCCATCCCCCCCTCTCTCTAGATGTGGATGTGCGTGTACATGCACATCAAGAGCTCCATCTCTGTATGTGATTATCAAATGTCAACGGGTGGACACGCTTATGATCAACCACTAGATATTCTTGATCTATGCAACTCCCGTTTGATTGTTAAACAAGAAATTTAACATATGGCACACCTTCATTTAATTTATAACATATATCAGCAGCCACCTAAATTGGTCAAACCACAATTTTCTCAGCCATCTAGGGGTTAGCAGCGTTCATTTTTATATAGCTAGTATATATATTTCAAGTTTGGCTTAGCCTGTTGAATCTTTCTTTTTCCTATGCATGACCTGGCTTTTCCCCATGGGCTTTCTCTGATATCTTTCTCCTACTAGAAGAACTTGACTTTTGTTTAGAACGAAGCGAGGATTAATAATTCTTAAGCATTGTTCAGTGTTTTATATAGTACTGTTATTCTCAGCGTGGGATTTGTTTTCACACATCAGACAGAATAGAAATGTAATTCTAATATATTGATGTAAAATCTGCATTCCTTTCATTCAGGGGAAGCAGAGAGAATCAAGCGTTGCAGAGGAAGGGTATTTGCTCTTCGTAATGAACCTGAGGTTGCTCGAGTTTGGTTGCCCAATGCTGACTCTCCTGGCCTTGCGATGGCACGGGCTTTTGGAGATTTTATTCTGAAAGACTTTGGTCTGATATCTGTTCCTGATGTCTCCCATCACCGCCTTACTGAGAAGGATGAATTTGTTGTATTAGCCACGGATGGGGTAAAGACATTATAGTCTACTATAGAATAACCTGCATATTTTGTCGGAAGTGCTTTGTTCTAAGATATATTGGCAAGATTGCACTCAACATCCGTAATGAAGATTCTTGAAGAAGTCAACAATTATTATAGATTTGACTTATTTTTTCTAACTATCTTTGTTGCTTTTTGGCAGATTTGGGATGTTTTGTCGAACCAAGAAGTTGTAGACATTGTGGCATCTGTGTCACGCTCTTCTGCAGCTCGAACACTTGTTGAGACAGCTGTTCGAACATGGAGGACAAAGTACCCTACTCCCAAAGTTGATGATTGTGCTGTAGTGTGTCTCTTTTTTGATTCAGATTCAGACTCAAAGTCAGTTTACACCACAGACAAGGAGATGCCCGAGGCGTCAGTCAACCTTCAATCTGAGGGACCTGCTCCTGAAAATGGAGTTTAACTGTTCTGAATGCTCTAGTGCTTCCCCTGAGAATTTTCCTATGCTTGGGAAGAAAGGATATGGAGTAGAAGCTGTACAGCAGTAGTAGCATTAGCTTTTACTTCTTGTCTCTGCCCAAGCCTTGCTTATTTTGTTGAAAGGTTGGGAATACCAGGTTTCAACACTGGAAGGGAAAGAAGAAAGTGGTCATTCTTTTGGTTTATTTTTTCGGTCCATTTTACTGCAAATTCTTTTCATTATTCAACCGTCACTTCCTTCAATGGCATTTGATAGGAGGGTGAGGGCTTCTTTTTACTTCTAGTTTTTTCTTTGTCCCCTTGCATTATATTTGGAGGGAAAAGGGTGCACCGGCCTTGTTTTTTTGCCGGAGATCTTCCTTCAAAGTGTATATTTGGTTTAGATTTGGAGGTTTTGTAAATCCAAGTCTGTGTATGGACATAATATGTAGCTTGTTAGTCTTCTTGTTGAGGGTGATCATTGGTGCCTTGTCCTTTTTAGTCAATTTGTCGGTCCTTTTCAACAATAAGGTCATGTTGCTGGGAAACTTGTGTTGTTTGGACTGTTGTTCTTCAGTTGTAGATTTGTGTTTCCGATTGGTCAACAAAGACAGCAGATCGGAAAAAGAATAATGAAAGGATCCTTGTTTCCCATGAACGCTTGAATGGCACCTGGCAGTTGGCAACCTGCCTGTGACTGCATATGGGCTGCTGTCCTGTTCTGCCTCCAAAGGCATTCAAAAGGCGTGTCAAATTAAATCTCTTACTACAAAACATTACAAATAAACAACATTCTTTCTGTCGTTTCGTTGCGGCCGTACCCCTTTAATGAAGTCTACCCTTTTTTCCAAAAAAAAAAAAAAAACATTATTGAATGATTACGGCATCGACCTAGTAAATAAACGGTCATTTTTTTAACTGAACAAAATCGAATCTATTCCTGCAAATACTATCAAATAAATTTTTATTCCAATATTTTTGACAGTGGACCTGACTATATATATTTGGTAAATCCATATAATTTTCATTATATAACTATGTATACATTTTTTAAATCAAAATGCTCACTCCAAACGTATAATTAAATATTTTTCAATATTAATTTTAAAATTTACCTTATCAAAGAGACGTTTACTTTCTATTGGTCAATTAAATTACTAACAAATTTATATACAATATAAAAATTATAACAAGTCGTACTAAGCTTATTTCTCAAACTCAGCTTAATGCATGGAATTTATATAAGTTATTATAAAACATATAACTAATATATATTTGAGTATTTTATTTAGATATTATTATTTTAGCATTTAATGTAAAAATATTAAAGATAATTTTCAACAGAATATATGAGTTACTGAGTAGAAGGATTGTTAAAAATTTTGGTGCAGATGATGCAACCGAATATTGTAACGAGAATCACAATTCTCAATTTCAATGATTTATATGTTATTTTCTGGTTTCGATTATCTTAATATTTACTGGAAAAATTTTCAATCCATTTTAATAATTCTATTTACTAAATTTTAACATAAAATTATATAAAAACAATGCATTATATGAAATTTAAGTTGTATTTCTTATTTTTCCATTAAAAAATGTAAGGTATTTTTAACCGAATCTCACCTCCTAATAAAATAGTTACTTATTTTTAAACTAACACTATCTTTTCATATTTATCCCTATTAAAGACCCTATAATAAATAAAAAGTCACTATCAATAGGAACACTTTTAAAAAGAAACACTGATTACATTTTAAAATATTAAAAATACTTTACATTTTTGAACATCCAACTCCTTAAAAAATAATTTATATTTTTTAACAGGAGAGTATAACTTATTAATAATGTGCATACATTCATTGAGCACAAGTGATTTGCCTATACTTATTGCATGACTCCAATTTTTTTTTCTTTCAATAAAGGACAAACATAGTCAAACTATCATCATTATGCATAAAACATAATTTTAAAAAATACTATTCTCAAATCATCTACAATATCAGTAAACGAAGAACAAAGCCTAAACTGAAAGTGTGGAGAGAGAGTAATGAGAGAGACTTCTAGAGAGAGAGTGTGTGGGGGCTCGAATGCTAGTGGGGGGCCTCCTCGACTGAGGTGGTTGGAGGCAGGACGACGGACTCACTAAAGATGAGGAGGATGCTATTGCAAGAAGTGTGAAGAAGCTATACGATGGCCCTGGTAATGATGTTGAAAATACAAATGGGGACGTGAATATGTCAAAAGCTAACATTGAAAAAACTTACTTCACCAAGGAGCCTGAGGTAGGAAAGACTAACCATGGTCCCAAATCTCTTATCGAGACCTTTTGATGGGGAAGGAGAGTATGGATATAGAAGAGAACTATGATGAGACTTTTAAGGAATGGCTGAAGGAAGAGAATGAAGTTTTTCCTCCCCTGACAGAGGATCAACAGAAACTTTTCGACCAGAGACCAAGAATAGACATGGAAGATGAGAAATGGAAGAAGTTGTGTGAGCCATTGAGGAATGCTCTAATAGTGACACTAATGGGGAACAGATTGAGATTGAATGAGTTAAGGAAAAGACTCGAGTACCTGCTAGGAACTATGGAGTTCAAACTTGTTGATATGGCAAACAACTATTTTGCCGTAAGGCCAAGAAACAATCAGCTGCAGTTGAGACTACTTAACGAAGGTCTATGGGTGATCCAAGGACAATATCTCGCAATGCAAAGATGAAGTCCAAGTTTCAATCCCTTTAACAACAAGGTGTAGAAGCTAGCAATATGGGTGCGGATTCCAATACTACCCATGCATTACTACATAGAAGATATGCTGCATGATGTAGGTAACAAAATAGGAAAGGTGTTAAAGGTGGATAAAAACACTCTTGTTAGAGTAAATGATCAGTCGGTGAAGGTAGAACATGGAAGATTTGCTCGTGTAGTGTAGAGGTTGATTTGAATAAGCGTTTATCTTCTAGGTTTGTTATCAGAAAACAAGTCTTTACAATTATGTACGAAGGTTTAAATGTGATTTGTTTTAATTGTGGTCAATATGGTCACAAAAAGGAGGATTGTCCATTACTGGAGATGAAAAGTAACATGCAGGAAGAAACCAATCCACAAGGAACTTCGACGAAGATGAACGAAGAATCACCGGTGATGCCAAGTCATAATTTAAACCCCAATCAGATTCCTCTTGACAAGGAGTATGGAATTTAGATGATGGAGAGGAAACCATACAGGGCACGATGGACTAGGTCCCCCGCGTATGGAAGCTTTCCCCAATCGTAAGGCAACCCAAGTCAGAAAAAATACGCACCAGCTGCTCCTAATCCGACTGCAACATCGAGGTTTGGTGTGTTAGCTGATATGTTTGAGGAGGGTGAACCTAGTGAAATAAAAAATTCTTTCATAAGAAAGCCTATAGTGACAGAGTGGAGGCGCAAAGAGGGACAAGGAGATGTCAATCAATATGGGAAAGCGGCTAATGGTGATGTCGGAAGGGACGTGCAGAACCGCCAAAGTGAGAAAAAGAAAGAGGAAGCAAAGTCTAAAGGAAAACAAAAGGTAGGCTCCAGTCAAGGTAGAAATATAGAGAATGTAATCAAATCGGCCCATAAAAGCCCAGAAGGTGCAACAGAACCGTTTTGTTTTAACGCAAGTATCTTTAACGAGAAAGGCTCCAACATTGCGGGCCCAAGCCAGATTAAACATAGCAGCAAGTACAGCTCAATATCTCCAGTGAAGGCAAGTGGGAAAAAGAGAGGCCAGTCGACCAGACCCGAGGTTCTTTCGCCACTATTGAAGAGGAAAATTAAAGGGAGACTACACAATGTCATTGAAGGGTCTATATCCCACAGGGGCCCATTATTCCTGAAACGAAGTGCGCAAGACCAGAGTTAATCCATACTGGAGATAGGTGACATCAAGGCGAGCGGTGACTGAATAGATGAATGGAGAGAGAGCCTAGTTCTGTGCTCAGTAGCGGAAGAAGATTCTCAAATCCACCATCAACCAAGACCGCCTGATGCACAGATGGGTACTCAAAATATTATTGTTCAGCTTGATGGAATGATGGAAGTTCAAGAACAGTATTTTGACGTCAAGGAAGAAGGGATGAATGGTGTTGTCACCATGGGTCATCATACAGAGTAGGGTCGAGATGCTTGAATCTCGAAGGTACATGATCCTCCTCCAAATTGTTAAGTTTATAGAAGTAATTGCCTGGAATTATAGGGGGCTGCTGCTAAAACCTTCCCTAATAAAATCAGAGATATTCTTAGAGGTAAAAAAGTAGGGATCTTGGCTCTATTTGAAACAAGAATTAGTGGAAATAAAGTGGATGCTGTATGCAATAAATTGGATTTCTCTAATTGGCTTCGAGTGGAAGCAACAGGTTACTTAGGGGGGATATGGTTGCTTTGGGATAAGAGCAGAGTTAGTGTTGATTATGCATTCTCGACTACTCAATTACTACATGTGCGGGTGAAGGTCACGGGAGGTCACTCATCTTTTTGGATGACCAGTGTTTATGCTGAAACAAACTATGTTCTTCGCTCTTATATGTGGGAGAGCTTAGAAGTATTAAGCAGAAACACTAACAAACCCTAAATTATAGTTGGGGATTTCAATGCTTACTTAACTGCGGATGACAAATATTGAGGGGGTGTACCAAATACAACTTTCATGAAATGTTTTAGTAAGGGGATTCAGAAGGCTAAATTGTGTGAGCTTGAAACTGTGGGAAACCGCTTCACATGGGAAAATAATTTAGTTAAAGAAAGAATTGATTGGGCTTTTTCTAATTATGCTTGGTTCTCTTGCTTCACTGACATAAAAGCTTATCATTTGGGTAAATTTGGGTTTGATCACCGTCCCATTTATATTAGAGATTCTAGCCAATACCATCATCATACTGGAAGTCTCTATTTCGGTGCCAAGCAACCTGGTTCATTGAGGAGGGATTTATTGATGTTGTTTCAACATGCTGGAGCAAGGGGAATTGGAATGAGAAAGTCAAAAGGTTTGAACAAATGGCGACCCACTGGAACAAATCTCGAATAGGCAATATTCCCAAGAAAAAGAATCAACTGTTAAGGTAACTAGAGGGTATTGATGCTACTAGAACCAAAAGAGATTCATAATATTTAAAACAAGTTGAAGTGGATCTATGGACGGAATACAATAAAGTCTTAGCACAAGAAGAGCTCATATGGTATCAAAAATCGAGATGTAAATGGTTAAATTGGGAAGACCGAAACAGTAAGTTCTTTCATGCTACGACTGCCATAAGATGAAGAAATAGGGTAGAAGCACTCAAAGACAGTAAGGGTATTTGGTGCTTTGATCAGAATAAGTTGAGGTTTGAGGCTTTGGAGTATTATAAACAGCTCTATAAGACTGATTTGAATGTACAAGAGGGGCTGAGAACAAATGTCTCCTATCCAAGACTTGATGGGGAAGAACTTCTCTCTCTTTCCAGTGAGGTCTCAGACGAAGAGATCAAAAAGGCTACTTTTGACATGGGTGCATTTAAAGCTCCAGGACCGGATAGCATACAGGCAGTCTTCTATCAATACTATTGGCAATCTCTTAATGGACCTATTTGTGAGTTGGTCAAAGATATATTCCGGGATCCAAAGAAGGTGGAGGATATAAATAAAA